GTAATTATGGAAGATCCCAGACACGATGTTCAGAAACGGGATGAGAACGTCATTATTTTGGTTCATTTATTGTGTAACATTTGCGTAATTATTGGGTTGAACGCGGGTTACAGTAACATACTTCCTCTTCGACGTAAATTTCACGTGAATGAAGAACATGATTCATCTCAAGTCAGCCTCGTAATATTCACGTGAATTTCACGCAGATATTTTGACTAAAACTATCATTAACGCTTCACGTGTTTCTGTGACGCGATAATTTCGTGTATGAAGATGTAATTTCATAACGAAACAAACACGGGAGTATTAGGTTTACAAACCATGGTCTCCAAGGTAGGGATAATCACGTTATTATAATGGTGATATTGCAGTGACAATTGCGTGATTTAGTGTACGTGTGTTTTAAGTTACCTAATGCAATAAACGTATTAACACATTTACGTAAATGTACGGTGTTTGAAGAACGTAACTCTCCTCAAGTCGATACCTTGATATTGACGTGATTTTCACGTGATTTTGTTTATTGGGGAGGTTTGCACTGTTTGATTTGCACTCACTTTTCGGTACGATATTACTCTCTTATGTTGCGTCAATGCCTCCGCCAATCGCTGACACGGGCAGGGGCGTCGCCAAAGGGGGGGGGGGGGTGTGGGGGGTGCGACACCCCCCCCACCTGTCAATATTTTGTCGGTAAAATTGCGCTGCCGTCGAGAAAAAGAGAAAAGGGGGGGGAAGAGGGAAAAAAGAGAGGGAAAAAAAAGGGAGGGAAAAAAAGAGAGGGAAAAAAAAGAGAGGGAAAAAAGAGAGGGAAAGGGAAAGAAAAGAAAAAAGAAAAGGAAAAGAAAAAAAAAAAAAAAAAAAAGAAAAGGAAAAGAAAAGAAAGAAAGGAAAAGAAAGGAAAGAAAGGAAAAGAAAGGAAAGAAAAGAGAAGAAAGAAAGAGAAAAAAGAAAAAGAGGGAGGAGAGGAAAGAAAGGAAAAGAAAGAAAAGAAAGAAAAGGAAAAAGAAGAAAAAAGAGTGAAAGGGAAACAAAAAATACGGGGGGTGAAAGAGAGGAGAGAGAGGGGAGATAAGAGTCTGAGAGAGGAGGAGTGGGAGTAAAAGAGAGAAGGGGTTGTTGGGTGGAGTCGTCTCGTCGACGGAGCAAGCAAGACACGGGTAAATATGTTGCTGTGTCGTGTCAGCTGTGTCGGTATTCTTGCTCGATCCTCGTGTACTATATCAATGCAGAAGTTTAAAGTCGGTGAGATGTATATTGTTGGTCGGCCGACAAGTTTTTTCCCTACGAACTGTGATTTCTTATCCGTTGTGACCATTTCGAGAGTGACTACAACTACAATACTTGTATTTTCTCGAAGTTTCACTTTCCTATAAGTTCAGCTAAAGAAATCAGAGGTTTAACATTTTCGGGGAAACTCAATTCAAACAAGGTTTAAGAATCAAAAACGGTACGACGAATCCTCTTCCTTTCTTTATACTGTGATGGAAGGCCAAAAATTCCGCGCTTCGCGCGGAAGGTGAAACTTCATTTAGACGAGTCGAGAACGGTACAACGAAATCGTCTTCTATCTCTAATAATTTAAGGAAACGTCAAAGCTTCCGCGCTTCGCGCGAAAGTGGGAAACTGAATTCAGACAAATAGGGCTTATTAAAAGTCGAAAACGGTACAACGAATCGTGTTCTTTCTCTAATAATTTGAGGAAACGTCAAGGCTTTCGAGCTTCGCGCGAGAGGGAGAAACTGAATTCAGATGAAAAGGGCTTAATAAGATTCGAAAACGGTACGAGGAATCGTCTTCCTTTCTATATATTGTGATGAAACGCCAAAAATTCCGCGCTTCGCGCGGAAGGGGAAAAACTTCATTTAGACGACTCGAGAACGGAACGACGAATCGTGTTCTTTCTCTTGTAAATTGAGGAAACGTCAAAGCTTTCGCGCTTCGCGCGAAAGGGGGAAACTGAATTCAGATGAATAGGGCTTAATAAGATTAGAAAACGGTACGAGGAATCGTCTTTCTATCTCTATATTGTGATGAAACGCCAAAAATTCCGCGCTTCGCGCGGAAGGGGAAAACTTCATTTAGACGAGTCGAGAACGGTACAACGAATCGCCTTCTTTCTCTAATAATTTAAGGAAACGTCAAAGCGAGAGGGAGAAACTGAATTCAGACAAAATTAATAGGGCTTATTTAGAGTCGAAAACGGTGCAACGTATCGTGTTTTTTCTCTAATAATTTGAGGAAACGTCAAAGTTTTCGCGCTTTGCGCGAGAGGGGGAAACTGAATTGAGATGAATAGGGCTTAATAAGAGTCGAAAACAGTACGATGAATCGTCTTCCTTTCTCTATATTGTGATGAAACGCAAAAAATTCCGCGCTTAGCGCGGAAGGGGAAAACTTCATTTAGACAAGTCGAGAACGGTACAACGAATCGTCTTCTTTCTCTAATAATTTAAGGAAACGTCAAAGCTTCCGCGCTTCGCGCGAGAGGGGTAAACTGAATTCAGACAAAATTAATAGGGCTTATTCAGAGTCGAAAACGGTACAACGAATCGTGTTCTTTCTCTAATAATTTAAGGAAACGTCAAAGCTTCCGCACTTCGCGCGAGAGGGGGAAACTGAATTCAGATGAATAGGCCTTATTAAGAGTCGAAAACGGTATGACGAATCGTCTTCTTTCTCTAATAATTTAATGAAACGTTTAAACTTCCGCGCTTCGCGCGGGAGGGGGAAGCTTCATTCAGATAAGGATTAAGAGTCGAGAACAGTACACCGAATCGTCTGCTTTTTCTCATAATTTAATGAAAGGTCAAAGCTTCCGCGCTTTGCACGGGAGGGGGGGGGGGAACTGAATTCAGAAAAGGATAAACAGTCGAGAACGGTAGAGCAAATCGTCTTCTTTTTTATAATAATTCAATGAAACGCCAAAGCTTTCGCGCGGGAGGGGGGGGGGGAACTTCATTGAGCCAAGGATTATCAGTCGAAAACGGTATTATATTAATCGTCTTCTTTTCCTAATAATTTAAGGAAACGTCTAAGCTTCCGCGCTTCGCGCGGGAGGCCCATCACCCACAACCCCTTAATGAGCGCGCTTTTAAGTGATTCTCTTGCTCACTACCGCCCCTCCCTAAAATAAGATCCAGCTCCGCGCCTGCATTAAAATGTCTAGCTATGATGCTGACTAAATTGAAGAAATAATTCGTATATTTATGTCGTCGAGGAAAATGACCATTTTGCGCATATGCAAGTACAAGAGATAGTCCATAGGAAAAACAATTTAGCCTTCGGCCCCAGGTTTATAGGGTTGAATTTTTCGATATTGGACATTTAATTTTGTCGGTAATTGGTGGCTAGTTTTGTCGGCAATCGTAAGCCTCTACACCCCCCACTGAAAAAGGTCTAGCGACGCCCCTGGACACGGGAGGTTGTGGGTTCGAACCCCGGCCGCGTCATACCAAAAGACGTTAACAGACGGGAGTTGCTGCTACCTTGTTTGGCGTATAACAATAAGGGATAGAGCAACGTCGATCTGGCGCTGCTTATAGTGGCTGCCGGGCTCACGATCGATTGGGCAAAAAGAATTTCCATTTTCGGTTTAACTTAATAAAATTTGGAGTGGACTTTAAAAGATAATTGTTATTATTATTATTATTATATACTCTAGGAACATACAATATCGTATACATTCTCTCCATAGCAAATGTGGTGTGTAAAGCACTGCTAGTTGCACAATTCAAATTCGAATAGAATTATTACTTATTTACTTTTCTAATAATGAATATTTTTCCATCGTACATTTAATAAAATTTCAATCATGATATTTTACAACATTTTGGCCCTTTCACAAGGTTTGAGATTTTCAGCGTGTAAATCCACTTATCACCCTTTAAAGTATATTAAATGCAAGAACAGTAAGAGTAACATTATGAAGGGAATTCAAAATCACAATCACAAGAGCTGCAATACCGATGTAAAGCATATATTACACATCCGTCTAAATCATATTAATGTCAACGTGATTCAGTGGATGAATACTGAAATCGATTGCATGACAATGGTAAAAGAAAAGGGATGATGATTGAGGCACTTTTCATTTCAGCCCATATTTCCTGTTTGTGTGCAAAGATTGTCTGCTCCGTCTGATTCGTCAGATCGAGTGTGGTGCCATCTCTACGATTAATCAAATAAAAGACTATAGTGATGGGGATAGAGAGAGAGAGAGAGCGAGAGAGAGAGAGAGAGAGAGAGAGAGAGAGAGAGGGGGGAGAGAGAGAGAGGGGGGAGAGAAAGAGAGAGGGGGGGGGAGAGAGAGAGAGAGAGGGAGAGAGAGAGAGAGGAGAGAGAGAGAGAGAGAGAGAGAGAGAGATAGAAACAGAGAGAAGTGTAACAGTGTGCATCAACATACAAACAGCGCAACATTACAACATAATCACATAGAGCAGTAAACGGAGGGCAAAGAAGAGAGATTGTATATCACACAGCTTTACGTCAAACAGAACCATCTTTACTAATTTAATTTGAATTAAATTGAACTTATTTTCTTTTACAACATGAAAACGGGCACAATCTGTTAATCAGTTAATGAATACGTAGAAAACGTGTTGATACAAACATGCGCGAATAATGTAAAGAAATAAGCCAACATGTAATATAAAAAATAGTATAAATAACTTTAGTTTATCACTTCGCTAATCCAGTAACCTAAGCCTGTTATGCAATAGGCACCCTTGGACATTCATGATTACACATTTCCAAAGGAATATTAATTTACATGCACGCCATTTGTCAACTCTTTGATACATTTTGCACCAATTGATGTGAGACTATAGTCGTTATTTTACCACCAAAAGCCATTTTCAAACCTTTTTTTTTTGAGGGAAGTCTTTAATAAGTATTTTTTTTAAATGCTGTTGAAATTCAACCTTTTCATTTGTTTGACCTACAAATGGGACATGTAGAACCTTAAAGAGCATTGCAAGCCTGGAAGTAAGAGTTTGAAGGACTTACCGACGCGGTTTTCCATGCTCCACCTTCACCTCCATGACCTGATCTTTATTGCAAGCAATTATGACATCATCCACGGCCTCATCTGACCCGCATCGTATGAATCTACCAGTATCAAAATAGACGCAATACAGCATTTCTCCTTTCGTGCTCCTCGTGGTTTTTCGTATTGTTTTAATTTGATTCTACAAGATGGAAATGCTCATCAACAATTTAAAAGACCAAATGCCCCAATTTACGATTTCTCTCGTGATAGACTATTGTTAAACGACTATTCTCACTCATGGGCGAATGGTATGAAACCAATTGCAAATCATCTGAAAAAGGAATTTATGTTTATTTTGAGATATGAAAGATAAGTACTATTTAATCATTTAATATGAAAATTCTTAATATAAACAGTGTACACTTTTTTCGGGGGGGGGGGGGGGACTGAGTGTATTATGGATAGGAAAAGGGATTGGAGAGAGAACGAGAGAGAGAAAGAGGGAGAGAAAGAGAGAGGGAGAGAGAGAACGGGAGAGAGAGAGAGAGAGAGAAGGGGGGGGGGGGGGGTAAAAGAAATGAAACATATCAAAGTACTCTTTTAACAAATGATATTGTCTCACCTGATAATCTTCAGATGTTTGAGGTTGTGTGGTGAACTGAAAGCTTGTAAAATCAGTTCCATCTTACTGTTGCCAATGCCAAGATCCCTGAATGTCACCTTGACAAGCTGAGGGGAGATATTCAGAAGGGCATTGGGTATTGAAGTGGGCTCCTCGTGGAAACCAGCCGGTCGACGACCATACTCATGTGTTTGAATGGTGAGTTCTGTTGCTCCTGGTAGATGGATCCTCTGGATGACGTCACAGTTGATCGTTCTTTCTGCCTCTATAGTGACCCTTTTCACACTATCAAACATCGAACCACAATCCTGCCATACTTCTAGTGTGCTAGTATCCACTGTCAGCTCAGTCAGGTTGGGGCTCGTGGTACAACTCTGGTCGTGATCATGTACATACAAAAAAGGCAATCAAAGTGCACTAGCAAATGTAGTAGGTTCGATTGTTGGTAAATATATAATGTTTCATGAAAAAAGCAACACAAATTGTGAAAATGGATTATGCTAGCCTCATGGGTATTGTAGAATATAAACAAGGATTTGTAAAAGACATAGGCCGAGCAAATGCGAGAAATCTTTTGCAAAGGCAAGTACAAGTATAAGCATGATAATCAAAGTCTTCAAAACAAATCTGTTTGGCTTTCATGCAATACAATTGTACATGTATATCATTCATTATTTCCTAATAGAAGTATGTTAAAGGCAAGTACAGTTTATAGATTCAATGAAACGGAAACCAGCCTAATTCAGCCATACGTTAGGATAAACATTAACTAAATAATTTCAAATCAGTCAAATGCAAGTATTCCGTACATCGTATATACAATAATCAAATAAAATGTAACTAGAACACATGTATCAGAATTTGAAATAGTAATATTGAAAAGGATTTTTTTTTAAATTAAAAATTAAAAATGTATATCGCGATTAGAACATTTAAACCTTTATCGCTGTATATAGCGTTAATTAATCACATTACTTGAAGTGTGATGCACAGTGGGCCGTTTAAGAATGTCCAATGTCAAATTTTACTGCAGGATTAACAGATATTTAATATGAAACATGTCTACAAGTACAAATATACCACCATATAATTGAGCGTTTGAAGTAATGTTTCGTCCCAACAGATTCTTATTTGTAGGTGTTATAATGCATAGGCATATCGTGAGAAAGGCGGGCGAAGTAACCGTGTCCCCCATTGAAGAAAAATATAGGCGAAACAAGACATTGTATGGGTATAAAACCTTTTTTTTTGCTCCTTGCCATTATGGTCATGTCGAAATGATGATGCATGTTTTACATGATTTGTATGAAATAACAATTCATTTAAACACCCAAATGCATTATAACACCTGAGATATAGTTATATATATTAACGCAATTTGTACTGCCCTTTCTTTCAACAATGATATAGATACATGTTATTCCTTTCCTTTTTCAAGTGTCACATTTGTTTTTTGTTATGGTTTTTTTTTTTTATTAGAATCCCTTTGGAAAACATTTCGCTTTAGTTGAATGTTCCACTACGTTAACATCCGTAAATGACTAAACGATTGAAAATTGTAATGAATATCAATAAACAGATAAAGCTAACAAATAAAGATGATTATTTGTAGGGCTTGGTAATGCAGTGGCAAATCAGATGGTGACAATCAACAAAAGGGGGAGGGGGTCATTACATTTCTCAGATGCCCTCGTATTCTTTAAAGCCTCTCTTCATAATGAATTATGTATTATACTTGTTCTGTTTTTTTCCTTCTTAATCGTTTGATTGAAATGTCGTAGTTTTACAATGTTTTTAATTTCCCATTGACTCTTTTTTTTTTTTACACATTGTTTGAATTGAGGTTGGAATATGGAAATAAATGATTTAAATTGAATTGAAAGTGTTGGGAGCCACAAATTCGACAAAAATGTGATGGCAAAATTTCACTTAAATCATATCATAATGTGAAAAAGGACTTCTGCAAAGATCCCCCCCCCCCCAACAAAAAAAAAGAAAAATGTATTTGAAGATAAAAATGATAAAATAATAACATAATTGGGGTTTTCTGTTGTGCTGTTGTATTCTTTTATCAATATTTATGACATCCTCTTACATTTCTCAGATGCCCTCGTATTCTTTAAAGCCTCTCTTCATAATGAATTATGTATTATACTTGTTCTGTTTTTTTCCTTCTTAATCGTTTGATTGAAATGTCGTAGTTTTACAATGTTTTTAATTTCCCATTGACTCTTTTTTTTTTTTACACATTGTTTGAATTGAGGTTGGAATATGGAAATAAATGATTTAAATTGAATTGAAAGTGTTGGGAGCCACAAATTCGACAAAAATGTGATGGCAAAATTTCACTTAAATCATATCATAATGTGAAAAAGGACTTCTGCAAAGATCCCCCCCCCCCCAACAAAAAAAAAGAAAAATGTATTTGAAGATAAAAATGATAAAATAATAACATAATTGGGGTTTTCTGTTGTGCTGTTGTATTCTTTTATCAATATTTATGACATCCTCTTTTACATTATGATACAATTTAAGTGAAATCTTTCCATCAAATTGTTGGGGCCCAACAATTCAGAGGGGCTTCAATTATCTGACCAGCAACCAAAATTACGTCTTTCCTTCGTAATTTCATAGGTCTATTTACTTTGAGTTTATTTCTTTGTAAGCGCTATGGAGTTTTGTATTTATCTTTTCTAAATATTCGATACATAGTAAGAAGAGAAAAAGCAAAGGTTTATGACATTTAAGTGCCGTTGTGGGTGGGGGGGGGGGGGGGGGGGGGGTAAATTGCATAATTAAGGACCCATTCTTATTTTGTATAATTATGCCAGATAGTGTTTTTCCGAAGGAGGGGGGGGGGGGAGGGGGGGGCGTTTGTCCCTATTCTCGATCCACCATTATTCACCCCGTGGAGTGATCACGTGGGGCCAGAGGATATCATTGCTGACACACAGTGCCTTGTAAACCCTGGAAAAGGAGCTGTTTGAATTCGATTATTATTATTATTACTATTATTATTATTATTAATATTTTAATTATTATCAATTATCCTCTGAGAAACACTTCTCCAATGAAAAGGGTCTCAATCTGTCGTGCAAACTTATTACAGGCTCTTGGTGTATATTTTTATATGGATTATCACCAGTTTAACCTGGCTGCATTGATACAATGTTATGCGTAATGTTGACATTTCAACAGCCCCTCCTAGACATAGTTTTGAAAGAACTAATTAAAGTGATCAATTCTTGTTCATCATAGAAGCCGCCCATTGCCATTTTTTAATATATTTGGATGAAGTATAGCTGTGAAAAATATTGTTTTTACTATCAATCTTTAATATTACGTTTGTCTGTTTTTGTATTTGACAGAAAGTTTACTTTTCGCATCAACTTCCCGAAACTTTCAGCTTTTCCTACCTGCTTCCTCTTAACGGTGTATACTTTGAACAGTAAAATCGTACAATTTCGTTTGACGATATAGGAAAGAGTGCACCTCTAGTAAAACAAAACATGTATTGATTTGCTAAGAGTCCCCAAAAATGTGATCAAATCAATACCTTTGCAGATGATGCCATCGATGACGATGTTGAGTAGAAGTCATCGTGAAACTGACTGCCGAGTGACAGCTTCTCCAGATGAGTCATCTTACAGACGAACTGAGCGAGATCACGTGATGCAGAGGGACGTTCATTGAGACTCAAATAGTTGAGCTCAAGAGTCTCAATCTGTTTTGATAGCAACATTTTGTTGAATGAATGTTAATAAAAACCAAATAAAACTATATTAAAAAATCAACAGTATGTTTGATATATATTAATATCGTTGCCACATTAAAAAAAAAAGTCTTAACACAATGGCATTTATTGTGTTTAATGATGTTTAAATCTTGACATCTGAAATGATTACTGATTGCAATAGTTCCTGAATTCCTTTGCGACCGATATACATTGCATCATGTTACAGTAGCCTTCCTCATTCATTTGAACAAGCTCTACGTTATTCTGACATTTGATTTAAATAGCACTTTTAAAAATGAATTTTACATAATAAAATAAAATAAAATGTATATGGAACACTTTGCAGTTTCCAAAGGATTACAGAAATAATACAAAACGGGAACGAAGAGATTCGATTTTTCATTTTGTAGGTTTTTAAATTAAACTATTTAGTCTCATCAGTATTCACAATTGAAAAAGCTGTCTTTCCATCAGTAATTCCGTAGCACTTTGAATCGTCATATGAAATTTAAAGAATGGTAAATATTATTCACTATCAATCATATAATCTTCACTCTGTTTTTGTATTATGACAGAAGGTTCACTTTTAAACCCACTTACTGAAGCGATCAACTTTTCCTACCTGATTCTTCTTAACGGTGTTCCAATAGGGAGAGAAAATTGTACACTTGCGTTTGACTATAAAGGAAAGAGTGCACCAACAGTATAAGCAAAACATGTACTGATTTGCTAAGAGTCCAACAAAATATGATCAAATCAATACCTTTGCGGATAATGCCATCGATGACGATGTTGAGTAGAAGTCATCGTGATACTGACCGCCGAGTATCAGGTCCTTCAGATGAGTCATCTTACAGATGAACTGAGCAAGATCACGTGATGAAGAGGGACGTTTCCATAGATCAGCAGAGTAGATCCAAAGAGTCTCAATCTGTTATGATAGCAAGTTAGCAACATTATGTTGAATGAATACTAATAACAACCAAATATCTCTATATTCCAGAATCAACAATTCATTAAAAATTATATTAACATCGTTGCCGTATAGTAACATTGTGTTAGATAAACTCCTAACACAATATGATTTATTTTGTGTATGAAAGACAAATCTTGACATCTGAAATTAGTACCACTTTCAATAGTTCTTGGCTCCTTTTGAGACCGATTCAATGGTGTTTATTCATACATGTAACTGATAGATAATGACAGAGATGATTAGTTTGTTTTTGATTAATCCCATCGAGACTGTAGGCATTGCGGATAAAGTAAATAATAATATTTTCTAGATCATGTTGATCTGTTGACTGAGGGAGTAGTGGGTAAATATGAATGAAGGACTTGGCTCCTGATCTAAATTCTAACGGAACAAAAGAGAAGAAGTCAACGCAAAGCATAGCATCCCCTCGCCGGGTACAATTTCCTTAATTGAGCAATTTTTGCATATTTAATGGTCTGTGACCTTTGAGCTTTGACGTGTTTACTCAACAACATTACTTACGTTATTGGATTAAAAAAAAACATTTTCGCGTATATCTAAGTAGGCATTTTCGCATATTTAATGAGCTATGACCTTTGTCCTTTGACCTACATACTCCGAAATTAAACATAGGCTGTATTTTGATACCATGTGCCTTCATATCAAATTTCATTAAAATCCGCTAATTATTATTAAAATTATCAAACGGAAACCAGATTTTTTTACGGAAGGACAGAAGAAAGGACGTGCGGCAGCTTTACTACATGTATATCGCCTCCGACTTCGTCGACGAGGGGTTTAATAAAACAAGAAGGCATAACGGTCACAAACCAGTCCTCAACTACACTACTCTACATGGAAAACGTGTGCTTTTAATCGGGGGAAAATCAGGACATGCTGATAATGTTATCGACTACATCATAGTGATGGATCAATGATTGTAAGAGAAGAGGGGATTTTTCATCTCGCGGTCATGATTATTATGATCCGGTAATTTTACTGATCCTACTACATGTAAACGTCGGAATGAATGAGGGGTGGCGGAGGAGGAGGGGGGGGGGGGGGGGTGAACGATCCACATACTGGATGTCAAGTCTTAATCTGTTATAATAGTTACATTGTATTGAATAAAAATTGCTGACATAACACTACTTAAAAATAATTGTAAACATTACATCATTCTTGAGTTGCCATCCTCATTATTTTACAAAAGCTATACGTTAATCAGAAATTAGATTTAGTAAAAAAATGTTGAAAAAAATAATTGTACATAACAGAAAAGTGTGAAATAAAATGTAGATTGAAAACTTTGCAGTTTCCAAAGGGTTTCAGATATAATTCAAACAGGGACAAAGAGATTCGATTTTTCATTTGTTTAGGTTTTTGAATTTAAATATTTAGTCTCATTAGCATTCGCAGTTGAAATAGTTGTCTCGCCATCAGCAATTCCATAGCACCCCGAATAGTCATATGAATTTTAAAATATGGTTTATATATTCACTATTGATCTTAAAATCTTCCCTCTGATTTTGTATTACGACAGAAATTCACTTTTCGCATCCACTTCCTGAAATGATCAACTTTTCGGACCTGCTCTTAACGGTGTAACAAATAGGGAGAGTAAAATTGTACACTTGCTTTTGACTATAAAGGAAAGAGTACAACTCTAGTATATCCAAAACATGAAGTGATTTGTTGAGAGCCCTGAAATATACGATCAAATCAATACCTTTACAGATGATGCCATCGATAACGATGTTGAGTAGAAGTCATCGTGATACTGAGCGCCGAGTGTCAGGTCCTTCAGATGAGTCATCTTACAGATGAACTGAGCCAGATCACGCGATGAAGAGGGACGTTTATTGAGATCTTTAGAGTAAATCCAAAGAGTCTCAATCTGTTATGATAGCAACATTATGTTGAATGAATACTAATAACAACCAAATAGCTCTATATTCCAGAATCAACAATTCATTAAAAATTATATTAACATCGTTGCCGTATAGTAACATTGTGTTAGATAAACTCCTAACACAATATCATTTATTTTGTGTATGATAGACAAATTTTGACACCTTAAATTAGTACCACTTTCAATAGTTCATGGCTTCTTTTGAGACCGATTCAATGGTGTTTATTCCTACATGTAACTGATAGATAATGACAGAGATGATTAGTTTGTTTTTGATTAATCCCATCGAGACTGTAGGCATTGCGGATAAAGTAAATTATAATATTTTCTAGATCATGTTGATCTGTTGACTGAGGGAGTAGTGGGTAAATATGAATGAAGGACTTAGCTCCTGATCTAAATTCTAACGGAACAAAAGAGAAGAAGTCAACGCAAAGCGTAGCATCCCCTCGCCGGGTACAATTTCCTTAATTGAGCAATTTTTGCATATTTAATGGTCTGTGACCTTTGAGCTTTAACGTGTTTACTCAACAACATTACTTACGTTATTGGATAAAAAAAAAAAAAATTCGCGTATATCTAAGTAGACAATTTCGCATATTTAATGAGCTATGACCTTTGTCCTTTGACCTACATACTCCGAAATTAAACATAGGCTGTATTTTGATACCATGTGCCTTCATATCAAATTTCATTAAAATCCGCTAATTATTATTAAAATTATCAAATGGAAACCATATTTTTTTTACGGAAGGACAGAAGGAAGGACGTGCGGCAGCTTTACTACATGTATATCGCCTCCGACTTCGTCGACGAGGGGTTTAATAAAACAAGAAGGCATAACGGTCACAAACTATTGCTCAACTGCACTACTCTACATAGAAAATGTGTGCTTTTAATCGGGGGGAAATCAGGACATGCTGATAATGTTATCGACTACATCATAGTGATGGATCAATGATTGTAAGAGAAGAGAGGATTTTTCATCTCGCGGTCATGATTATTATGATCCGGTAATTTTACTGATCCTACTACATGTAAACGTCGGAATGAATGAGGGGTAGCGGAGGAGGGGGGGGGGGGGTGGACGATCCACACATTGGATGTCAAGTCTTAATCTGTTATAATTGCTGACATAACACTACTTAAAAATAATTGTAAACATTACATCATTCTTGAGTTGCCATCCTCATTATTTTACAAAAGATTTAGGTTAATCAGAAATTAGATTTAGTAAAAAATGTTGAAATTTTTTTTTTGTACATAACAGAAAAGTGTGAAATAAAATGTAGATAGAAAACTTTGCAGTTTCCAAAGGGTTTCAGATATAATTCAAACGGGGACAAAGAGATTTGATTTTTCATTTGTTTAGGTTTTTGAATTTAAATATTTAGTCTCATCAGCATTCGCAGTTGAAATGGCTGTCTCTCTATCAGCAATTCCATAGCACCCCGAATAGTCATATGAAATTTAAAATATGGTTTATATATTCACTATTGATCTTAAAATCTTCCCTCTGATTTTGTATTACGACAGAAATTCACTTTTCGCATCCACTTCCTGAAACGATCAACTTTTCGGACCTGCTCTTAACGGTGTAACAAATAGGGAGAGTAAAATTGTACACTTGCATTTGACTATAAAGGAAAGAGTACAACTCTAGTATATCCAAAACATGAAGTGATTTGTTGAGAGCCCTGAAAAATACGATCAAATCAATACCTTTACAGATGATGCCATCGATGACGATGTTGAGTAGAAGTCATCGTGATACTGACCGTCGAGTGTCAGGTCCTTCAGATGAGTCATCTTACAGATGAACTGAGCGAGATCACGTGATGCAGATGGTTGTTTAATGAGATCATCAGAGTTGATGTAAAGAGTCTCAATCTGTTATGATAGCAACATTATGTTGAATGAATACTAATAATAACCAGTTAACTATACTCAAGAATCATTGTTTTTAAATTGTATTAATATCGCTGCCACAATGAAAAACTCTTAACACAATAACATTTATTTTTGCTTAAGATGTACATGTCTTGACACCTGAAATTAAAACAAATTTCAATAGTTCATGGCTTCTTTTGAGACCGATTCAATGGTGTTTTTTCATAACTGATAGATAATGACAGAGGTGATTAGTTTGTTTTTGATTGATCCAATCGTGACTGTAGGCATTGCGGATAAAGAAAATGATAATATTTCCTAGATCATGTTGACCTGTTGACTGAGGGAGTAGTGGGTAAATATGAATGAAGGACTTGGCTCACGATCTAAAGTCTTACAGAACAAAAGAGAAGAAGTCAACGCAAAGAGTAGCATCCCCTCGCTGGGTACAATTTCCTCAATTGAGCATTTTTTGCATATTTAATGGGCTGTGACCTTTGAGCTTTGACGCATGTACTCAATAACATTACTTACGTTATAGGATTTTTTTTTTAATTTCGCATATTTACCTAGGCATTTTCTCATATTTAACGAGCTATGTCCTTTGACCTACATACTCAGAAATCAAACTTAGGCTATATTTGAATACGATGTGCCTTCATATCAAATTTCATTAAAATCCCTTAAACATTACTAAAGTTATCAAAATGAAACCAGATTTTGTACGGAAGGACAGAAGGAAGGACGTGCGGCAGCTTTACTACATGTATATCGCCTTCGACTTCGTCGACGAGGGGTTTAATAAAACAAGAAGGCATAACGGTCACAAACCAGTCCTCAACTACACTACTCTACATGGAAAACGTGTGCTTTTAATCGGGGAAGAACCAGAACACCCTTATTATGTTATCGACAACATTATATGGTGGATCCATGGTTGTAAGAGCAGCCGCGAAGCCACTAGGGGGGGGGGGGGCACATGCCCCTCCTAAAATTTCCAGGATCGGTTGAAATTTTGTAGACCCCTTTTTTGACCTCGATCGATTACATGTATGTGCCCCCGAAACATCAAACTTTGGCTACGTGCCTGTGTAAGAGAAGAGGGGATTTCATCCCCCGGTCATATGATCCGGTAATTTGACTGACCCTACTACATTTAAACGTCGGCATGATGAGGGGTGGTGGGGGGGGGGGGGGGAGCGATCCATATACCGGATGTCTTAATCTGTTATAATAGTTACATTATATTGGATAAACAATTATTGCTGACATAACACTACTTAAAAATAATTTTAAACATTACATCTTGCTTCAGTTGCCATCCTCATTATTTTACAAAAGCTATACGTTATTCTGAAATTTGATTTAGTAAAACATATTGAAAAAATATTTGTACATAACAGAAAATTGTGAAATAAAATGTACATGGAAAACTTTGCAAGTTTCCAAAAGTTTCAGATATAATTCGAACGGGGACAAAGAGATTTGATTTTTCATTTGTTTAGGTTTTTAAATTTAAATATTTAGTCTCATCAGCATTCGCAGTTGAAATGGTTGTCTCTCTATCAGCAATTCCATAGCACCCCGAATAGTCATATGAAATTTAAAATATGGTTTATATTGTTCACTATTGATCTTATAATCTTCCCTCTGAATTAGTATTATGACAGAAATTCACTTTTCGCATCCACTTCCTGAAACGATAAAATGTTTTCATACCTGCTTACTCTTAACGGTGTTCCTATATACAGTGTGAGTCAAAAAACAGTTTACACCTAGAAAATTGCTAATTATTTAGAAAAAATCATCTGTAAACAGTAAATTATTATACATCTTATGAAAGAGTGTTTTATCCCAAATTATTTGGTATCATTTTTGTGTGGTATGTGTTTACGCTTGGATTAACAGGAAGCATTGATTGCGAGAGTGCAAAATTCGACTTGCGCCAAAGTTCCTCATTTGATATTTGAATAAAATAATTGGGATTTGGGTATTAATTCGGTCTTTGCAGATCCAAATAACATCCCTAAGAAAATTAATCATGCCACACATATCAAATATCAACGAACATTTGTGTGCGTGTGTGTGTGTGTGTGTGACTTTGCTCCTGCAAAAAGCATATGCAATGCATTTAATTTGATACATTCAATTCATTCTCTCACTCCGCTAAAATCCTAACGTAATACATACCGTATGCATCACTTTGGCGCAAGTCAATTTTTGCACTCTCGCAAACAATGCCTCCTGTTCATCCAAGCGTGAACACATTCCACACAAAAATGATACTAAATGATTTAGGATTAAACATTCTTTCATGAGAGGTATAATAATTTCCTGTTCATAGATGTTTTTTTTTAAATAATTAGCCATTTTCAAGGTGTAATTTTTTTTTTGACTCACACGGTATAGGGAGAGTAAAATTGTACTCTGGCGTATGACTATATAGGAAAGAGTACACTTCCAGTATAACAAAAACATGTAATGATTTGCTATGAGTCCAACAAAATATGATCACAACAATACCTTTGCAGATGATACCATCGATGACGCTGTTGAGTAGAAGTCATCGTGACACTGACCGCAGAGTGTCAGGTCCTTCAGATGAGTCATCTTACATATGAACTGAGCGAGATCACGTGATGCAGAGGGACGTTCATTGAGATCAGCAGGGTTGATCTCAAGAGTCTCAATCTGTTATGAAAGCAACATTATGTTGAATGAATACTAATAACAACCAAATAAACTATATTCAAGAATCAACAACTTGTTTTAAATTGTAATAATATCGTTGCCACAATGAAAAACTCTCATCACAATCACATTTATTATGTTTAAGATGTACAAGTCTTGACACCTGAAATTAAAACTAATTTCAATAGGTCATGGCTTCTTTGAGACCGATTCAATGGCGTTAAGTCATAAATGATAGATAATGACAGAGGTGATTAGGTTTTTTTGATTGATCCAATCGTGACTGTAGGCATTGCGGATAAAGAAAATTATAATATTTCCTAGATCATGTTGACCTGTTGACTGAGTGAGAAGTAGGGAAATATAAATAGAGGACTTGGCTCACGATCTAAAGTCTTACAGAACAAAAGAGAAGAAGTCAACGCAAAGCGTAGCATCCACTCGCAGGGTACAATTTCCTTAATATTGAGAATTTTTGCATATTTAATGGGCTGTGACTTTTGAGCTTTGACGTATGTACTCAACAACAATGTTTACGTTATTGGATTTATAAAGAAAAAACATTCTCGCGTATATTTAAGCAGGCATTTTCTCATATTTCATGAGCTATGACCTTTGTCCTTTGACCTACATATTCCGAAATCAAACATAGGCTATATTTTAATACCATGTGCCTTCATATCAAATTTCATTAAAATCCGTTAAACATTACTAAAGTTATTAACCGGAAACCAGTTTTTTTACGGAAGGACAGAAGGAAGGACGTACGGCAGCTTTACTACATGTATATCGCCTCCGACTTCGTCTACGAGGGGTTTAATAAAACATGAAGGCATAACGGTCACAAACCAGTCCTCAACCACACTTCTCTACATGGAAAACGAGTGCTTTTAATCGAGGGTAAACCAGAACACCCTGATTATGTTATCGACAACATTATGTGGTGGATCCATTTTTTTTAAAATTTTTAAATTTTAATATTTAGTCTCATCAGCATTCGAAGTTGAAATAGTTGTCTCTCTACATCAATTCCATAGCACCCCGAATAGTCATATGAAATTCAAAATATGGTTTATATTATTCACTATTGATCTTAAAATCTTCCCTCTGATTTTGTATTATGACAGAAATTCACTTTTCGCATTCACTTCCTGAAACGATGAATTTTTCCTACTTGCTTACTCTTAACGGTGTACCAATAGGGAGAGTAAAATTGTACTCTTGCGTTTGACTATACAGGAAAGAGTACACCTCCAGTATAACAAAAACATATAGTGATTTGCTATGAGTCCAACAAAATACGATCAAATCAATACCTTTGCAGATGATGCCATCGATGACGATGTTGAATAGAAGTCATCGTGATACTGATCTACAAGTATAAGGTCCTTTAGATGAGTCATCTTACAGATGAACTGAGCAAGATCACGTGATGCAGAGGGACGTTCACTGAGATCATCAGAGTCGATGTAAAGAGTCTCAATCTGTTATGATAGCAACATTATGTTGAATGAATACTAATAATAACCAATAAACTATACTCAAGAATCAACAATTTGTTTTAAATTCTATTAATATCGCTGCCACAATGAAAAACTCTTAACACAATAACATTTATTATGTTTAAGATGTACAAGCCTTGACACCTGAAATTAAAACTAATTTCAATAGTTCATGGCTTCTTTTGAGACCGATTCAATGGTGTTTTTTCATAAATGATAGCTAATGACAGAGGTGATTAGGTTTTTTTGATTGATCCAATCGTGACTGTAGGCATTGCGGATAAAGAAAATGATAATATTTCCTAGATCATGTTGACCTGTTGACTGAGGGAGTAGTGGAGAATATGATTGAAGGACTTGGCTCATGATCTAAAGTCTTACAGAACAAAAGAGAATTACTCAAGAAGGCAGAGCGGTCACAAACCAGTCCTCAACCACACTACTTCTCAAGGAAAACGTGTGCATTTAATCGGGGAAAATCAGAACACCCTGATTATGTTATTGACTACATTAAAGTGATGGATCCATGATTGTAAGAGAAGAGGGGATTTCATCCCGCGGTCATAGGTTCCAGTAATTTTACTGACCCTACTACATTTAAATGTCGGATGAGTTAGGGCTGGTGGATGGGAAGGGGGGGGGGGCGATCCATATTCGTTGACAATAAGCCGTAGACGAAAGACCTCATGCATGGCTGATTGCGAACGAAACGGCATGTTGCTATGGCAGGCACCCGGTAAAAACGAATTCGTTTAATAAAATTATGGAAATGCAAGCACTATTTTAAACAAACAGAACTTGGTCATTCCTTGCTCATTTCTTCTGATTGAGGTGTCATATGAAAGGGCAGGACCTCAACTTTCTAGAAATGTGATTTTCTCTTTGAAATTCAAATACCGTCCGCCAAATGACTTTTTGGTTTCCTCTCTTCAAATTCATTCCAATCACTCATGCCTGAAATATGCATCATTTGAACTGCAGCAAATGAAAAAAGGAGGATCTAAGCTTTCAAAATATGTGTCATTTAGTAATTATAAATGTGACTACGTTATGATAAAAAAACGATAATTCTCGGTTTCGTTTTTTCTGGGACGCACTGTATAGGAAATAGTACACCTCCAGTATAACAAAAACATGTAGTGATTTGCTATGAGTCCAAAACATATGATCTAATCGATACCTTTGCAGAAGATGCCATTGATGACGATGTTGAGTAGAAGTCATCGTGACACTGACCGCGGAGTGTCAGGTCCTTCAGATGAATCATCTTACAGATGAACTGAGCGAGATCACGTGATGCAGAGGGACGTTCAATGAGATCATCAGAGTTGATGTCAAGAGTCTCAATCTGTTATGATAGCAACATTTTGTTGAATGAATACTGATAACAACCAAATAAAACTATATTCAAGAATCAACAATTCGTTTAAAATTGTGTTAATATCGTTGCGTCAATGAAATACTCTTAAAACAATAACATTTATTTTGTTGATGATATACAAGTATTGACACCTGAAATTAGTACTAATTTCAATAGTTCTTGGATTCTTTTGAGACCGATATAATGGTGTTTATTCATAACTGATAGATAATTACATAGGTGATCAAAAGGTTTTTGATTGATCCAATCGATACTCTGGGCATTGCGGGTTAAATTAATAATAATATTGTCTAAATCATGTTGACCCGATGCCTGAGGCAGTAGTAGGGAAATATAAATGAAGGACTTGGCCCATGATCTTAATTCTAACAGGACAAAATAGAATAAAACAAGAAGGCAAAAGGGTCGCGAGCCAGTTACCAATCACACTACTCTTGGGAAAACCCTGTCCTATATTCTTTGGAGAACCTGAACACCCTGATTATGTTATTGACGACATTATAGTGGTGGAGCTATGATTGTAAGACAAGGGGGGGGGGGGGGGTTCCTTTCCCGGGCATACGATCTGGTAATTTTACTGACCCTAATACATATTCACATCGGAATGAGTGAGGGTGTGGTAGGGGTGGGGGACGATCCACATACTGGATCTCATAATCTTCACTCTGATTTTGTATTATGACGGAAATTCACTTTTCGCATCCACTTCCTGAAACGATCAACTTTTGCTACTTGCTTCTCCTTAACAGTGTTCCAATAGGAAGAGTAAAATTGTACACTTGCGTTTGACTCTATAAGAAAGAGTGCACCAACAGTATAACAAACATGTCGTGATTTGCTAAGAGTCCAACAAAATGTGATCAAATCGATACCTTTGCAGATGAAGCAATCGATGACGATGTTGAGTAGAAGTCATCGTGATACTGACCGTTGAGTGTCAGCTTCTTCAGATGAGTCATCTTACAGATGAACTGAGCGAGATCACGTGATGCATAGGGACGTTCACTGAGATCACCAGAGTGAATGTTAAGAGTCTCAATCTGTTGTAATAGTACGACATCATGTCGGATACACAATTGCTGACATTACTATACTGAATTATGTATAACATTAAATTTGTTTTGCTTCCACTAAAAGCGTAATTTTTTTCCTAATTGTTTTTTCTCAACGGCGTACTATTTTATACAGTAAAATCATCCAAATTAGTTTGACTATCGAAATGAGTAAACTTCCAATGTATCCCCACACCCGTCATCTCGGCCGTGTAATATCCCATTAACGCGACTATTTCATGCATCTCCTCTGTCCCGTAATGAGCAATATATTTGTCCCTGATATGCATTCGAAAAACAAATTATATAGCGTGAATCAATTATGCAGAATTCTTAATTCAAAGCATTCTTCAGAAGACTCTATATTCTTGTCTCTAGACATGTCTGGACTCTTGAAAACGATACAATATTGGAGAAATACTTTCCTTTATAAAAAGTAAAAATATTAATTTTAGTTTATAAAACTTTAAGATGCAAACGTAAATTTGCATTAAGTATACATCTGTAAATTACATATTTATGAATGTTAAACTGTACAAGCATAGAAGGAATAGATTCATTACAAGGATAAAGGAATGGGAAAGAGGAAAATAAAGCAAGTGTTTGAGTGTGTGGCAAAGAGAGAGGGAGAGAGAAACAGGGAGCAAGTTGCTTTTGCACCAGCTTTTCGTTGTTAAGTGAGTTCCTATATTTTGGACCGTGTTTCAGGACGAATACGAGTGAAGGGAAGGTGGAAATGATTGGATTGTCTGGTTGGGTCTTGTAATAATGGTTTGTACAGATATTATACAGTGCGTCCCAGAAAAACGAAACCGAGAATTATCGATGTTTTATTATCACTTAATCACAATTATAATCAATAAATGACACATATTTGGAAAGCTTATAGATCCCCCTCTTTCATTTGATGCAACTCATATGATTCCTTTCCCACGCATGAGTGATTAAAAGCAATTTGAAGAGAGGAAACCAAAAAGTCATTTGGCGGGCGGTATCTGAATTTTAAAAAGAAAATCAAATTTTTAGAAAGTTCAATTTCTGCCCTTTCAAATGACACCTCAATCAGGAAAAATGGGCCAGGACTAACAAAGTTTTTTTTGTTTAAAGTAAGGCTTGCATTTCCATAATTTGATAAAACGAGTTCGTTTTCACTGGCTATCTGCCGTATTAACAAACAGAGTTGACAAAAGACTTAACTCCGTTTCTTTGACGATCAGCCATGCACAAAGAAGACGAAAGACCTTATGCATGGCTGATCTTCAACGAAACGGAGTTAAGTCTTTTGTCAACTCTGTTTGTTGCTACGGCAGGTAGTCAGTGAAAACGAACTCGTTTGATCACATTATGGAAATGCAAGCATTACTTTAAACAAAAAGAACTTTGTTATTCCTGGCTCATTTTTCCTGATTGAGGTGTCACATGAAAGAGCAGAAATTGAACTTTCTAGAAATGTGATTTTCTCCTTGAAATTCAGATACCGCCCGCCAAATGACTTTTTGGTTTCCTCTCTTCAAATTGCTTTTAATCACTCTTGCGTAAAATATGCATCATGTGAGTTGCATCAAATGAAAGAAGAGGACCTAAGCTTTCTAAATATGTGTCATTTATTAATTATCATTGTAATTAAGTTATGAGTGTAACCAGGTGACTGTTTTATAAAGACTAGTCAGATACCCCTATCCTGTTTCCACATAGAATGCTGGATTATATGACTCACTTTATGCAAATATCTTTTAACACGTGACCCCGCAACATTACCTTTGTCCCTTTGTTTCTAAACACCTTGAACTCGTGAACCCGCTTGACTCCTCGCAGTCCGTGTCACGAGTTTAACCATCACACATCTCTTCTTCGCCTCCTGTTTTACAGGTAATTTACCATATTTTGTATTATACTTATATTTAAGTAAATCATTATTATCATGTTATATAACTTTGTGCGGTTGTACTGATGTATGATTGGATGTGTTCTGATGTTCGCATTTGTAGATATCGTTGTTTTAAGGAAAGAATTTAAGTTAAGAAAGTTTAGCTTACAACTATTTGTGAAGCGTTATACTGTATGGGTGAATGGTACCCGCGAATATATATATTTCACATTGTACATAACTATTTAGCTTTCTTACTTAAAGATATGAGCTAATCAATATTTTGTCGTTTATGAACCACTGTTGTGATTCTAGTTAGCATTTGACATATTCTAGTTGGGGAAATATTATTACGATTTTCCATATTCGATTTGATAACGTTTTGAGAGATTTCCATCTCAGAAGGAGATAACCTTCGATTTGACATTGAACCGGCCAGATTTTGCTAGTCTATAAGTCCGTACTTTCTTATAATATGTATCGAGTTATTATGTCGTTTATTTTGTCTATGATCTTACATTATCATGCCAAGATAATAATCATGTTAATATGTGTTCCGATATACCAGGGATTGATGTGGAATTGGCGTATAACTTTATAATCATTTATCTACGATACATTGGTGTCTGCGTGATTAGACTATGTACGTTCACACGGTGTGTAGGGAGTGAGCGCATCGTTGAGAACAAAGAAGGGATTACAACTTTTAACTAATAGTACCAGTACAAGTATTACCTTGACAAAGAGGAACTTGGGCTTTTTAGGTTTATTTGTCTCAACTCTGTAATCTGCATAGAGCAGGTACTATAGTATTAGTAGCTGAAGTAAATATGCTTTAGCCGTCACTATTATATATGTATGAGTGGGTTTTATTATGGTCCAAAAGACCAAAACGCTCATTTATCTATTCCGCCCTTTACAATAATGAATTAAGTTAGAGAGCAACAATTATTATTCATTTGCACGATATATGTCCAGTTTACGAAAGCACTATATATCTATCATTCAGTAGTCTCCAGTTGTATATTATTAGTCAGACATGTATAAATCTATTTAGTCTATTCCTTTTATGTTAGTTATAGTTTCTTCGTTATAATTGTTTAGGATATATTTTCTATCGTCTTGTTTACTTTATTTAGGTTTAGTCGAGTTAAAGGGATATTGGTTATCTTCGCATTTCAGCAGTTATATGTTTCGAGTATTTGTTATTAAGTTAATAGTTACTATACATTATCCATTCTAAAGAATGATAAGTTTTTGTTTGGTTAAATATGGGATAGGAACTATAGAAGTGTATTTGTGTTTTGATTATGTGAGTTTGTTTGTTGAATACGAATATTCAATTATGTTTTATTTACATTATTACTTGTTATTAAAAGGCAGTCCGTGTCACGAGTTTAACCATCACACATCTCTTCTTCGCCTCCTGTTTTACAGACTCATCTCATCTCTATTATTTTGGTACCCTACTCTTACAAAAGTAACGAGGGCTACATGATAAAACATCGATAATTCTCAGTTTAAGAAAAGTTAAGCTGTGTGATTAAATTTGTTATGAATTATTCTAATAGCTATCTGTTTTAAAACAGTAATTGTATTGGTAGGGTTTTAATAGTGTTCTCCAGATCCTTTATCGAATATTCCCAGACTATTGCAACGGTTGCCATAATAGTCACCTTTAAGGAGAAAATAAATGACATGAGTGGATGAATATCAGTGATGAAAATAACATTTTGCAATATAAAAGTGAATAGAAACTTATGCAAAGAGTCAATCTATGGTTATACAATTCGGCCATCACTAATCCAAAAGCATAATCTTCTCGTTTTTTTGCAAACAATGTTATTTATAATGCTAAATGTATTACTCATTGCGGATATAGTATAGAAAATAATATTGCTAGTGATATTCCTTTGTCTCGCAATGTATGGTCAACAAGGGATCTGAAAGATCACAACGTTTCTCTGTCGCTGCTGCACTTCGTCACGTGATAAAATAAATTGTTGTTGTTGTTCTTGGGTTTTAAGGCTGACCAATCTAAAATAAATTGTACGCAAGCGTATTTTATATTATACGGGTGGACCGGGTGGACCGGCGGTCGAATAATTAGAACAATAACGGACAAGGCCTATTGGTCGAAGCACACGGGTGCTCAACCAATCAACGGGCCGCTGGATCGATGTGGGGCGGCTGGACGGGTAGTGTCATGGCGGCGCACAACGCATTAAAAATAGACGTATTAACCCTCCGTGTGTACCAATGTCAGGCTACGGGAAAGACACGGAGTCTCGTTATGCTACACCCCTTTAATATTATATAGTCATCCGGGATTTCCTAAAAGAGCAGGGGCATCTTTTTGCCGGGGGAATAAGATTCGTTAATCACACTGAATCTCTCGTATTTTCCGATCGGGGAGAAACAAAAATCATTATAAACATTGATATCTTGTTTTCTTCCTCCTTTACCATTCACTAAAGTTAGGGCAAGTCCACTAAAAAAATAACTTACTTTCAATAAAAGCAGAAATATTGATAGTAATATATTTTTGTGTGGATGCACTAATATAGAGTAATTTGTTTCAGTTAAATGATGAAAATTAACATTTTGATAAACTATTTATATAAAAATCGATGATTCTGAATTCATTCAGAAAATAGTATCAATTTTTTTCAAAGTTCATGAAAGATTTTGTGAAATGCCATGCACGCAATATGATCCAAATCAAATCACATAACCTGGTCAAAGGAATGGGAAAATCAAGGTTTGGGGGATAAAAAGGGACACGAATGGGATAAACATATGTTCAGCAATTGTTAGGAGATGAACAAACAGCATGTGAATGTGGCCAGGAACAGAGAATGGAACACCTGCTAGTCTGCCCACTCCTGCCAGAGTCATGCACCCAAGATGACCTGGAAGCCGTGAATTGCCGTGCCAAAGCATGTGTGGACCACTGGACGGGACTTGTGTAGTGACTCGATAAGAAGAAGCAATTGTTAAATAGTGAGGCAATAAGGTCACAAACCGATAACCCAATTGGCAATTTGCTTAGTGATTTTCTAAGTTCCGTAGTTTTTAAAAATTCATAATCTCCTTATTAGTTATCCGACTTCACCCCTTTTTTGTTTGGCTCTGTTTTGCTTATGTTTTTTCTGCATCTATTAAAAGCAAATTATTTTTGGAACGGGCTTATCCTTTAAACTAGGGAAGAATTGGGGAGTTAAGATTAGAGTGATCAAAGATGAAGAAAATAATTGATTTGGCAACCCACTGGCTTAAAGCATGAAATGTAACATCAAACATAAATAGTTTAAAGATACTATGTCCCTGTTGCAGCCGACATTAAATTCTGTAGAACTTTGCAGGAATTATGAATATGTCATGTTTGTCCTATTTGTAAAATTTAAAAAATAGCAGTGTCATAGTATTCAAATTATGCAAGGAAATCCGGTCCTTCTAGACTTCACATGGGCATTTCTCTACATCAATAACCCACTACTTGTAATGGCCATAATTAGACTGATTGAATCCTCGTGCAGCAAAAAACGTACAACCATTCGGTAAAAGGGTATGAAAATCAAACTATTGCTTAGGTGGTTGCAATCACTTTAGTCGATTCGAGTAAAGATAGTAAAGATACTATGTCCCTGTTGCAGCCGACATTAAATTCTGTAGAACTTTGCAGGAATTATGAATATGTCATGTTTGTCCTATTTGTAAAATTTAAAAAATAGCAGTGTCATAGTATTCAAATTATGCAAGGAAATCCGGTCCTTCTAGACTTCACATGGGCATTTCTCTACATCAATAACCCACTACTTGTAATGGCCATAATTAGACTGATTGAATCCTCGTGCAGCAAAAAACGTACAACCATTCGGTAAAAGGGTATGAAAATCAAACTATTGCTTAGGTGGTTGCAATCACTTTAGTCGATTCGACAACTACTGGTCGTTATTTTCCCACTAAAAGCCATTTTCAAGCCCTTTCGTTTTGAGGGAAGTTTAAAATTAGTATTGTCTTTCAAATGCCGTTGGAATTTAACCTTTTCATTTTTTTTAAATGTAATATTCTCTCTTTTTTGTATTAAAAATAAATTCAAGATGTTTGAAATTAATGTACTTTTCTAAAAACCAAATCTCTGTTTCCCAGTATTCTCCTAAGTTATTTCGATCTTATGACACCAGGAAAACCATTATTCTGACTGAATATGGCATCCATTTTTTTTTTAAAGAATGATGTACCAAATAAACGACAAAGTGGATGATACAAAGATTTATACTGACCTTGGAATCGCCTGCTTTATTCGCAAGCACCGAGTAGAAAACATCATGCATAGTACCAGTAACTCGAGTAAGATGGATCGTAACAGATCTCAGTGATCGTGATGAGCACATGAATTCAGCCAGGTCTTCCGAAGCCGTGCGTCCACATGGTTTATCAATGATCAGATTATCCTACAATGAACATGTACACAAATAATATTGTGAGGCTAGAAACATAAACCATCAACATAATAGTATATTATCCTGATTAATCACCTTCATTGATACTGACTTTTTAATAATCGTTTTTTTCCTTCCATTTTCCGTTTGGTTCTTATTTTGTTTTCATAATCTAGATATCGATATGAACATCAAATAATATCTTAACAACATTACGTATTTTAAAGGAATTATTGTTATCCCACAAAATATAAAAAAATTGGGTTCAGTACGTTATCTCATAATAATTCAAGTAAGCGTTTTATCATATTGGTTTGAACAGTATACACTTGAAAATCCTATTGGGATTGGTGATATTAAAAGCGTTATTTTATAAACAAGGTTTCATTGCAAATGCATGCAAGACGAGTTGTACTGCAATAACAATAAATCACAACTCCTATTAACAGACTAAAGTCCTAATGCTCATTAATTCCTGTTAATAATAGTTCATTTTGTTCGTGTATATTGCAGTGTTCAAATTAAATATCATGATCGGAGTTGTACCCATGCTAGATCCATAGAAGTTGCTTTAAACATGCTCCTGATTTAAAGGAAATGTATTCTATCAAGCTTCTGGTTGAATTTGGGTGACGAGAAGTTTGTACAGTATGCATTGCCTTATTAGCGCATGTTGGGGTTCAAAGCATCGTTCGTATACACAGTATATGTATACAGTCCACGGTTTCAAACCAAACGACGTCATCCTATTACAGTCTCAGAGAATGAAATTTAAATCAAAGAGAAACTCTATCACTCAAAAATATCAAACAAAGATGAAATGTATACGTTGCTACAATGAGATGTTTATACTTTCCTTACCACATCGCGATGATTCATGATGAAAGTATGCCCTGATACTGTGTGTGCCTGCATATTAAAGTTGATTTCAAGTGTCTTGCTGGAATCAGTGGAGAGATGATCCGCCACTGATTTGGCCACTGCTTGGTCTTGGCTCTCGTATGCTACATCTACGATGAAGCCATCACCAATACGGACAGGTTGGCGCTTTTGATTCAACGCTATGAGACGAGATACGATATCCAAGCCGACCCCCTTCTGCTGGGCCGAGGTGAAGTGCAGTAGGTACCGGTATTCCACTGCTTCCTGTATGATATTCGCTATCAGCCTGTCATACTCATTACGGTTTGTGTTGTAAAGAGATGCAAGATACATTCCGGATAGATACTCCTGGAAGAGCTTATGGGGAAACTGCACTGATTGGACCACTGATTTCGGATTATTTCTTCTGTCTCGCCTCGGAAGAATTTTCTTCTCTTTGGTGAGTACACCAACTTTACAACCTACATCGATGGACTCTGGATAGCTCTGAAACTCTTCTTCTGTGAATACTAACCGTCTCTCGAGAAGTCCCTGGAAGGCAATCCACCCAATGTAAATCAGGTGTGGACGAATATCTGAACAATGATCCCCTAATTTGCCTTCAACAATACCTGAAGATGGAATGTGCTTTGATAGGTGATGATCAACCAAAAAGTCAATCATCTGATTGAAGAGCTGGGAAAATGTTTGCAGCTTGGACATTGCCTCTCGGCGCTCTCCATCAAACTCTTTCCACATGATACACAGCATGGCTGTGTATATGGGGTAGGGAGCCATGTTCTCTCTGATCACATCGTTGTTCGATATGAATCGGTTCAGATCTTCAGAGGAAGCTGCATCTGGATGAAAGAACTTGGTGATGTAAGAAGAGAGGTTTTCAGCAGAGAAACCTTCTACAGCAATGAAAGCAAACACCTTTCTGAGATCGGCATTCTTCCTAATCTCATCTGATCTCCATTGTCTCGATGTGATTAGTACTGTCCCTGACTTGAACAGATGATTGAGAGTGATCAGGGCGACTTGCTGATTGCTGTCAAGATCGACAGCAAACTCATCTAGGCCGTCCAGGACAAGAAAAACGTCATCCGGATTTGAGAAGATGTGCTTGTCTAGCTGTTTGGCTGTGACGGGATTGTTGTCAGAAAGATACGACTTCACTATCTCTCCAACAGTCTTGCCCTCTGTCTTGCGAAGGAGGATGACAAGAACCAGTTTGAAATCTTGGTAGGCTTTTCCGTGGATCCAATCCCAAGCGATCTTGGCGCAAAAAGTGGTCTTCCCTACACCACCTTCACCTTCTACCAACAACCGTTTGGGATAGGTTCCGTTGACTTTGGTCCTGAGGAGGTCATCGTAGAGAAGCGGTGTCTTGAGTTTTGTACCTTTGTCTTCTTCCATCAACGTTAGATTGGTGAAGATACGTTTGAATTCAAGTACAAGTTCACTGTTCAGTGGATCGGCTTGAATCTGGCATAGATGAATTGCCAAATAGTGTTTGACCTCTTCAGCAACCAGTTGGATTTCCTTCTCTGTCATGGACGGTATGTGATCACCAACCTGACCTGTGATGAGAATGGTGAAGAACGTTGTCTTTAACATGACTAGAAAAATATGACCAGTGTTTTAATATCACACAACAGCAGTACTACCATCAGCAGCAACAACATGGAAGAAATCACCTTGGAATTGCCCCCCCCCCTTCCCCCTCGGTTCTCTCTCTCTCTCTCTCTCTCTCTTATATTGCAGTATACAACAGTATCTATGAAACCCTATAAATAAACGTTAACTATTGCAATGAAACTCGTTATATAGTAGCCTTTAATCATGGCGGCTTTGCTGCTCTATCGATCCAATGATCGTCCTCAAAAAATAGAATAGTCATCTGATTGCACGGAAAGTCGACACTTGCGTGCAGCTTGCTGTAAGTCGCCTTTAGTAACTACCGAACCTTGTTGTTGTTGTTCAGCATTATATGGCAATCAGTCAAATTCGACTATTATCACTAACTAAATTGTATTTTCTTAATTCTAACTTTAATTCTGAAAATTGATTGACCTCTCTTTTTTTTAATTTCTTTTCCTAATGTTGGTTGTTAATAATGATAATATGTTATCGTGGTTAATATTTATAATACAACATTTAAGCTTTCTAGTCAGAATATAAACAGAATCGGCTTTAAATCGTAGACGATCGCACTATTTGTATGACGTCACTATGATTCTTAGCTGATGTAGCTATTCCTCCTCGAAGGGAACGTGAAATCCATTCAAACTTCAATTTCATTCATCATATTAGAACAAATATATTTAAATCATCGTTCATTTAAAAATTTAAGTTTGAATGTTCATGTCAAATGCTATATATTGCAAATTATTCCCAAATTGGGTCTTAATCACATCGTATAGCACGCGGAGTGCTTTAGAGTACCAGTTGCTTTGATCTATAGCCTATCCACTATCGCATGTTCTCTCAACAGGTCAATCGTTAACCGGATTGTGTATCTATCTTTTTGTGTAAGTAATGATGATGTTATGTCCCCGCCCCTTTTTTGTCCATTCTTCTGTAATTTTAATCTGTATATCATGATATTAAGGTAGGTAGAGAGAGGGTAATAGAGAATTGGAGAATGTGTATATTGTTGGAAAAGACGCATGAAAGTAATTTTTGTTTGTTGTACTCAATAATAAGAAATAGAAATAATAAAGGAGAAATCATATGTGTTTGTTTTCGGGGAATTTTAGGCATTTTTTTAGGGGGTAGGGGGTGTTATTGATGTAGGACCAAATATGGATATACCGGAACGGATATTGTTCCAACTAGATACATACGTACATACGTACATAGCCTTTACATAAACATGCTCAATGCACTTTACATTAATATAAATAAAACATAATAATTATTTTGCTCTCCAAGCGCATACACTGTAAATACAATTCATGGTTATGATTAAACTTATTAGAGTCTGTCCTTAAACTATGACTCTGAGACTCGATACGTATGTAAATATTACAGTTGGAATGTCAGATGCTAGCGGTTCTTTCTTTGCTTTATGATATTAAATCCACAAGTATGTCAATGTTACTATGGGTTTTTTAGATGCTAGTGGTTCTGTGCAGGAATTTCCTGACGTTCCTTTTTTACTTATTGGAAATTCATTTTGTATTTCATATCAACTTTAGAGTCCAAACTGCGTGTCCTTGTATTTAGGCTAGGAATGGTTTAAGAGGCATGCCACATAGTAATTTTAAAACTTTATCAATCAATTATATTTTTCCACTTTGTTTAAGAATTGTGGACGCTTTTTGTGTACTGATATATATATATTTGCAGATATCATCTTCTTTTTTTCAAACTTGCCCAAAACATTAATTTGGTGAGAGTTTAAAGTGTTGTCTACATTAACCATATTCTAAAATCGATGTGTTCGTGCAAACAAGAAGTTACTAGCAAATAATCCACTTAAAATATTGGAGAGGGCCCTTCAATACTGTATAAGTAATTCATTTTGTTTTTAAAGTAATTTCGAACAATTGTAAGAAGTTATTTGATTGCAAGGTTGCTTCGAATCATTTATGTTAACATACATATTGATTTTTAACCATAATGGCTGTACGTATTTGACATAATGCTTTTTGTTTATGTTGTTCTGTTTTTTTTTTTTTTTTTTTGTTAATTCATTTTCTAATGTTTGTGATGAGCTTCGATTGATGTTTTGAACAATCGTAAGAAGTTGGAGTTCTTGTTTTTGTACATGTATATGTTCCATCGATAATATTTCCGGTAAAATCAAATGATCTGTAGCATGATACAGTACGCAAAATAAGGGGGAATTCGAAATGTGGAAGAAGAATTTTGTTTAATTGTTTACATTGGAGAGTAAAGTTGGGTTTGTAAGTGTTCACAATGTTCCGAAGGGACATCCAGTTTGATACACATGTAAGTGTCTGTTTCCAGTATTGAAGCATGTACTGTGTTTGATAGTAAATCAAACGTTTTTGCTGTTTCAGGGTAATATGCATTCGGAATACATATACAGCTGTATTTCTATTTCAGCATGTGTATGGTGTACTGAACAAATAGGAAAGAACACAGGAGGGGAGAGTGGTCACGCCATTGAATTACGTTATGATCTACTGTACGCCATCTAATAAAGTCACCATGGAACTACAAATTCTCCTTAAGTCGCCTAGTGTTTTCATCCTTATTGGCTTAGCTCCTGGTACAGAAAATGAACCAATCAGAAACAACATCCTGACGATCGCATGGTGAAGGGCCAATGATTTTTGGTGGTGGTGTTTTTGGTAAGGATGGTCGTGTGTGTACGCATGCATATGAGTAATACTGTACCTTTCTGTACGCTATCAGCAAGCTGTACCAGCTTAATTCGGTGTAACGTGACCACCAACGCCTCCCTCGCCTCGCTATCACATACTCTCTTCCGCCATTCGTAAAGCATCTTATAGATAGCATACAGAGTGTTGCCCATCTGATCTTTCTCAAACCGACTTAGTTCAGCCTCATTGAATCCTAAAGCTAGTCCGACCTTCCTAAAATCTGATGGATCCATACTGTCAGCAAGGAGATATAGTTCGAGGTCGGTCAGGTTCCCAGGTCTAAATCATTAGACAAAAGAAAGAAAAAAAAACATATACAGCTTACATATATTTGTGAGGTTTTATACTCAAAGGAATTTCCTTTGACTATCATCTCGAGTGAATACCCTTGTTTGCATTGCATTAAAATAAGTTCCAACATTTGCTAGAATGCAAGCACTCCAAAAACATTGCAAAATAAGGACTTGTTAACATAACGGAAATACGCGAAACTTCTACTGTCACCATTTGCTTTCATTGATCAATTGGTATATTCCAATTAATATGTTTTACCAACAAATTCGTTGGCTCGTATTTTGCCAAAGTTTATAATCGGATTTAGAATGGAAATTAGTCTGAAGTTTAATGAAGTTTATCTTTAAATGTGATCTCCTACCAAGGGTCGGGCGTACCTCAATGGACAGAATAAGATCCAAAGTCGCTCTTTCATCGTGCTTACTTATCATTTGGGCCAGGGTTTTGTTCTACATCACCGGATCTCAATAGAAGTATGTTGGTCATGTCTGGACAGTCATTCCCTTTAGTTTCATCTGCTTCACCACTGGTTGTTCCTGATCCGAGGACCGGATAGATCGGGGAATCATGATACTCCGCTACTTCCTAAGAATGAAGAGAAAATTACGAATAGATGACACAATTTTAACTCTGAATACTATCTACATGTCATACTGAGATGACATTATTGTGCCACAATGTATTTCTTGCGGGGATCTTTATATCAATGGTTTCTAGTTTATTCTTAAATTCATAATACAACAATAATTAGCGCAGGCAGATGATAGAAGGGTGTACATGTAGCCATTGGACAAGGTGGGCGGGCAATTCATGATATTCTATTACTTATGGACAAAAGACGATTTTCAAAAGAATAATCAGACATTATTTGAAGGAAAAAAAGGAGAATCACGGGAGTATAAGAATTCTGTGAAAGGGTTAAGTGAAATTTTACCACTATTTACGGTTGTCACAAACGTCATACCTACACTTTGCACAGCAAATTTAAAGAAGCTCTCCTTCATAATACATCTTTTTAGCTCCAATTTTCCTAGTTACATGTTCTGGTTTAAACCCCGTTTACAAAAATAATCATTTTATACAGTTTTTATTCCGATTTATTGTTCGCATGTTTGTCTCACTGTTTTGATTCTTTGATGTTTTTATGTGAGTAGTGAGGTTCTAGGAAATGCATATCAATCATACCTTGATGGATGATGTTCTTTGGTCGGTATTATTCGTTGCATCTATCCTGTGTTTAGGTGATAGGTCCAATGATTGGTCTTCTATCCCTGACGGTGCAGAGTCTGATGTTTCCTCCTTGTCTCGATTGATACGATCTGTCTCGCCACGAACGTCTGCAGGTACATGTGAGTGCGACTCTGATGTGTCAACTTCAGGTTTGTCTGTTTTACTTATTTGAGCGGATTTCGGGGTGTATTCATGTGACATGAGATTAATGGCGATGTCTTTATTGTCCAATTCGTCTTCTACACAGGGTTGGGGAACTGGAAATGTCACGACCGTGATACCAGGGACAGGGTTGGTCTCTTTTTCAATTGAAAAACCACTGTTTTGAGCACATGAAGACTCAGAGTGAGAGACATCGTTATGACCGGGGTTGTTTACATCGCGTGGGAATCCACTCTCACTGACATCACACTCTGGGCCGTCAGATTGTGAGAGAGTCGGTGAGCTGGCGTTACCTTTGCCATTGTTGACGTCACGTGAAGGCCCTGTTTGAGCGGTATTAAGGTTGACATTGTAAGAAGATGCAGACTGACCGGTCGTGTTGCTTGGAGATCTATTCGCATCAGGAGAAGAGCCAGTGCGAGATATGTTACACTCAGGATTGTTGTTTTCTTTGGGTGGCTCAGCATTCTTGGCTTTTTTCATTAAGTTGTGAAGTTTCCTCCAAAAGTAGTGGTAGTCGTATTCTTTCCTACGACGTCGCATGAACGTGCCAATCCTGACACGCCATTCACCAAGAGACACAGGCATGGTGACATCAGGATACTGTGTTATTAAAGAGGAAAACAAAGATTAATGCAGAGTTAGTTCATGAGACGGGCAACATGACTTTGTATAAGAAAATAGTGTCACATCTTTGTACGGATTTATCTTAACATGCCATGTATGGAATACGTACTGATTTTAAATTACATAATATCTCATCTTTGAAAGTCAATTTAAATCATGTTGGCATAAATCTTTATATTCCGCAATCCCCTCGAGACAACTACCACCGGGAAAACGGCCCTTTCTAGAGGTGCAGTAACAAAAGCTTTATGGGGGGGGGGGGTAGTTTTTTAAGGGTTTATGGTTGTCGTAGATGTTTCTTTTGCGGGATGTAAGTCCGGGGTAGCCATCCAAAAAAATGTCCTGAAGCTATGGCAAATGCTAAATAATACATGATGTCAGACAAATTAGACAGAGTAAGACAGATTTACAATGGAGCATAGTGGAGAGTGGGTGTGTATTATGTGCGCCTGTTGTTTGTATGTATGTGTGCGTGTTTGTGCATGCAACACGAAGAAAAATTAATGCCGTAGATACTTCTGATACAAATGGAAAACAGACAATACATTTTCTCTTTCATGGCAAGCAAAATAATCAGAATCATTGTCTGCGTCTGGTCCATTTCGACCGCCCCCCCCTCACTCAGTGTTATTTAGGGTACGCATATGCGTGTTCCCAGCACCCCGCCTTTTGTCAGCGTAAGTCCGCTGTGTAAAGTCAATACGGGTAGACCTTTTTCTTTTGTTATACGAGCCTTTTCAGCACCCCCCCCCCCCCGCCATTTCAGCAAAAGTCCGGTGTGTAAAGTCTATACGGATAGGCCTTTTTCTTTTGTTACGAGCCGGAGATTTTGGGAACACGCATGGCATCCCTCTGCGCTTCCCGGAGTGGGGGGGGGGGGGGGGGGGGCCATTTCGAAGAAAATGCCTGTTTTTTTTTTTTTAATGCACGTGGCATGTGGAGCGAGAGTACTCTATGCAAACATCGGACGGGCATTTTGCGAACATCGCACAGGCTTCTTGCGGTGGCGCCGTACACAGCTATACGCGCAGCCGTAGCACACAGCTGCTCGGGGTTGTGTAGTGTCACCTTAACGTTTCAGGGGGTAAGGGGAATGTATGGTTTTGAGGAGGGTGCAATTAAGGCACTCGCGATGGATTGTAATGCCATAATAATGCCATGATTACTATTTTAAGTACTAATAATAATAATGGTCACATCCGCATGCATGGACCTCTGATTTTTTGCTAGCTGTGCACATAATACACCGGCGGACCATGCAAAGAGATCAATACAGTAAGGATATAACTGTCTGTGTAACTTCCAATAAGCGTGTATGCGTTATAAATAGTACATTGCTGACTGCACATATTATTCATGGTATCTTAAGTAACATCACATTCATTCCGTGTATGTAGGTTTAAACGGACTTTTGTAATCTGTAATCTGTAATCTTTTTCCAGTTATTCGATTCAATTTCAATTCAATTTTATTTCATTCAGTAAAAACAGACAACATTAAATATAACAATGAGCTGTGTATCTTAAAATACACATTAAGAACATATTGGACAAGGAAGGAAACATAATCCTTATACAAAGGTTGGAACTTTTTTATAATGAACAAATATGAAATATATTCGTAACTAAACATTATACGATACACAAATCAAGACAACAGACATACAGACAAATAAAATATGTCTAGAATTCAAATAATCAATTTGACCAAATAAATTGATTACACCTACATTTAAATACATTTACACTCGCAGAATTATGTGTTTAATGAGGTAGAGTGTTCCACAGAAAGTCCTTCGGAAAAATGATTGTGTTTTGGGTTAGTACTGTACGAGTCAATAGCAAATGAAAATTTTGAGCATTTCTAGTATTATACATGTATCTATAAATATTACAGTTTAATATAAACAATTTAGAAATGAAATCATGTATCTATAAATATTACAGTTTAATATAAACAATTTAGAAATGAAATCAGGAAGAAGATTGTAATGACATTTAAAAAAACACCTGCTTGTAATAAATATACATCCCTATATTGCAACATGTTTAATGAGTAGAATACTGGATTGGTATGGGTAAGAAGAATGATTAATAATTCTTATTGCACGTTTATGTAATTTAAACAATCTATCTTGATAAATTAAAGCAGCATTGCCCAGACAATAATAGCATAAAGTAAGGGTACACAATTTTATAGTATATCATTTTGAGAATACTTTTAGGGAGAGATTTCAATCTGAACATGACACCAATAATTTTAGACAATTTGTTGCAGATGTCACCAATATGATTAGACCAAGAGAGGTCATCATCAATAATAACACCGAAGAACTTTGCTGAAGAAACTCTCTGAATATTTACAATACCAAGTTTGATTGATGTTGATTCTTTATTTAGTTTCTTCTTTGTTATACATAGATTGACCTCATTATCTTTTTGACATTTTGTATCGAATCATCTACTGTAATCTACTGAGAATCTTTGATAGCGAAAAAATGTGTTTCAAATCCGAAATAATGAAAGTTACAGTTTACACTTAGAATTGTTTGTAAAAGAGTTCTCTTTATGTCTAATAATTATCATGAGAATTTTAACGTGAAAGCTTACCGTTCCCTAATGCTCTGCTATGTCGAAAAACATGTTAAAACGGGGCCTTCAATCTTTCCCCTCATCAGCAGTGTTGACCGTGTTAACTGAATGTATCCCAGCTACCAAGGTTCACATGTATCTTCTTCAAATTTCAGTCAAAGTAACAAGTAACAACTCACTTGAAAGGTTAGTTCTTGAACGTGTGATGAAGAAACAAAATGAGGTTGAAATACTTGTCTTGCGCACGATCAGAAACAGGTCTGAGGGGTGATGTTCATAATAATGGCTTATCCGGTATTGGCACTATATGTCGAAACACGCAATGCATATTCGCCCCAGAAAATATTCTCAATACAGATTCCGTTTGCAGAATTAATTTATTATCCATAATTCGAGTCCCATGTATAACTAACGGACAAGATACAATCACTTAGATATTGAAAAGCACAGCGGTGCATAAATCTACCTAGTACAGAAAGGTACGTGGTGTACAGAGTGTGTGTGTGGTGTGTGTTATCTTTTGGCGCACTCCAAAACGAAACATTTCACATGAAATGCTTTGCAAAGTCATCGTCATAGCCATGCAAGGTATATTTCAATACATATTTATTGCTTAGTCAGTCGGAAAAAAACATTTGTGATGCAAATCATATATTTGGCCCGCGCTAGCTACCTGGGAGAGTACTATAGATTGGGCAGCTTAACAGCGACAGAGAAAGAGAGCAATATAGAAAGAGAGAGAGAGAGAGAGAGAGAGAGCGGGGGATAGCGGGGGAGCGGGGGGGGGGGGGGGAGAGAAAAAGCAAAAAGGAGGAGGGGCAACGCCGGGATTTGGGAATCTGATCCCAGTTATTGGTAAGTTGCCGTCCCAATTATCATGAGTGAAGAATAATGAGGTAAATGCCAATATTTGTTGGTCCTATCATGGACCTCGACTGCCAACTTCAACTGTGGTGAGGTCAACGAACTCAAACTTGGATTTCGATGGGTGAGGTCCGTAACATAATGTATAGTCTTCAAGCACAGACTCCAATGTGACACTCTGCCGCACTCCTAAAGCCTTGAGCAGAGCCTAGATGTCTCGGTCTCTAGCTGTATAAGTAAGTAAAGTGCATAATTATTGTAGTCATTTTGCAGTCACTGTTACGTACAAGGGTTTGTGCCTGTGAACTGGGAAACTTACGGAATAATATTATTTAGACTTTCCCAGAATCATACAGGTTTACAGGCACATGTTTTGCAAGGGGGCTTACACCCTTTGCCTGAATATCAAATGTTCCAGGTTATGAAATATTGCGGTCGAGCCGAAAAAAACATCTTAATGTGATAAGACTTGTATTTAATCATCTGTGATAAGACACAGACTTGCAAACTCGCGCATCGATCTCACTGTCTGGATATAAGCTGATATAATATTGATAGGAATATTTCAAATTGTGGGGTGGGGAGGGGAGAGCTGCAACCACCACACCCTGTCCCCGCCCCATCGTAAAGCTTTTAGTATAAGCTTTTTTCTATTTTATGGGTTTCTCATATGGCTCTCTTTAATTTACAGATGGATAAAGAGCTATACTGACTAGCAGATCAAAAGTATATTATTGTTTAATGTAGATGTGAATTCCGTGTAAACGGCTACCTAATCTTACTTACTCCAACTGATTTAGATGAACTGTTAATAGCTGCAACCTAATCATTGCTACCGAACAACTTTTGACAATATTTGCCTTAATCAAAATAGCGAAACTTTGCTGACCGTACCTTTTGCAGTTCATCAACAATCACGTTAATCACATATTCACTGATATCATGCGTGCATATATTAAAACATGATTTTAAGACTTGCCCAAGGTTTACAAGGCATAACAACCTATATATCACATGGAAGATTTCGTCCATAATATAGATGGCAATGAACTTTAAAGTGAAATAATTGATAGGGGTTCTGCTGTTCATTTCCAATGAACTGAAATAAATTAGACGGCCTAAATTGTTTTACTGTTGCAGTATTCGTCTCTCTCTCTCTCTCTCTCTCTCTCGCTCTCTTTCTCTTCCCCTCTCTTTTAGCTCTCTATTACGCTCCCCCCCCCCCCCTCTCTCTCTCTATGGGATAATGCGTATACATCATGACGGGAAATAGACCTGAAGTGAGCAGGGGAACAGAAAAAAAGAAAGAGAAAACGGGAAACTCGGGGGAAAACCGATAAAATGCGGACAAAGAATATCGAAATTAGGAATCCATAAACATATCTATTGATATGGATCGAGCTACTCCTATTGAAGAGTCGGTCACGGTGAGTGATGTTATTTGGCACAACTTCTCGATTCTTTTGTAAAAGATTGAACTCCTCCTTTTTCCCTTCTTTTATTGGACAGGGGGCGTCT